TTTTTGGGTCAAACTCCGCTAGTCCTGTTAAAGTTGTCAATAGACGGTTGGTTAACTCGGTAATCTAGTCATGTTTGATTTTAGAAAGGAAGCTATTTATGAAGTATTAAAGTTGCATTTATTATCATTTAAAAACTGTTACATCCTTTTGTCACTTTACTAGCACACCTTATATTCTTAGGTTTTATGTTAAATGCGGAGAATAAGATGTGGATAAAAAGGGAAGATATTAATTTCTTAAGACTTTAAGATCAACCATTGTATTTTGAAGTAATTTTATATTAATTGTATGCTTGCCTTTATTTTAAGGAAAAAATCTGAAATTATTTACTTAGCGTAACCTTTTATATTTGGAAGAAGAAATGGTTGAAATGTGAAATAAACTTTATAAGAAAATAAAGTAGATGCTTAAAGATTTTCTGGATCTATTTCAATAAAAAGATTTTTGATTTAATTTATTTTTGTACTAGTATTTTTTATTATCAGGAATATTTACAATTTTTATTGATATTGCATAACATTTTCGGAGCTTTACGTTTTCAATTTGGAAGGGAAACTGTTGGAACTGTGAAATTGGCTTTATAATTTTGTTTGGAAATTAAGTTAACTTGGGGGAACTTTTTCCAGTTCCGCCTTCCCTGGATCCGCGCTTCCTCATACTACTTGTTTATTCCGATCCATACCTTTATCGCCGCTGTTTCTCGATGATCCCCAGCAGTGACCCTCGAGTTGTGCAAATATTTTACCACAAATCGAAGTGGCCGTCGATCTCGGATCCGAAAATGAAATTGAAATCGAAAGTAAAGTCGCCAGGCAAATACATCACTCGGTTGTCCCCAGATAGCCGAAAGGAAACGGGCGTTTTGGATGGGCAAATATTTGCGAAGCCGCGATAAGGGTTCGTTTTTTCGGGTAATCGATCAGTGTCAAGCGGGGGTGGGGGCGTGGACCTCGAAGCGCAATAAACCCGGTAATTTATAGACCAATCACAGACCCAGTGCACGCACCGCGAACAAGTGAAAAAATCATAGTCCAAACACACATAACGCATTAGAGGCGATCTGCGAAGGAGAAGGAAAAGCCTGGACAGTTGGACTGAGTGGACTATATGGGACTGGGGATGGGGGTGCAATTTATAGGATAGACAACGCACAGCGGGTAGTCGCGAGTCCCGAGGAGCATCATCCCAGTACTTGCCTCATTGCCAATTGATTTATACAAACGGCAAAGCAACGGAACACAAATTGGCTGCCTCGAAGATCTCTCTTCCCTGCTTATTATTTTTTCTTCTTTTTTGAGTTTTCCTGCAGCATGGCTATGGGAAATGATTTGTTGCACTTTGGCTGCAATCACAGAGCCGCAGTTGCGTATACGCAGAACTCTTTGGGGCCGCTGCTTAACCCTGTGACCTCCTCGCTGGGAGGGATCCAATGGGCTAGGGTACATATGGTATATATAAAAATAAGAACTAGAAACGAGAAACACGTGTGGCTCGATCGGTTTTCCTTGGAAATCATTAGATATGATCGCTTTGCATGCCGACTGCGTAGCTAATTAGAGCCTTAAATGGCCAAACCAAGGCAATCCCCCGGCGGAAAGTGAGATTGCCGCCAGGCGTTGGCAAAAAATGCCACACAAATGACAGCGGACCCGTTGACCGTTTTTGGTTGAAATCGAAGTGGCAACGGGACGCAGCCAACAGACGGCAGCCAAACACCAGTTTATCGGGCCGAAACGACCCAAAACAATAAATTACGCAATCCAAATGCTCAACTGCAGTCCATCAATGGCATAATGAGGCAGTCTCGAGATTCAGAGTCCCAGTCTGAGTCCCAGTCCCAGTCGCAGCGTAGATGCATTACCATATCGGCATAAATTCCGGAGCACATCGTTAAGTGGGCTGACGAGTGGCCGGCATCGAAGGAACAGGCTTACAGGTTGCTGCCTGTCCACCTCGTGTTGCATGTTGCAGGTTTCTTGCTGCAGGTTGCTGGTTGCAGGTTGCTGGCTCCGCACTTGCCACATGCCAGGCAGCCTCTGCCTCTGCTGCTGCCTCCGCCTCCGCCAAACTCCCACAGCTAATGAGGGAATTAACCGCCATGCCAATGCCACATCGTCATCGCCATCGATAATGGCTTGTGCCCGGCCTCAGGTGGGGGTTAAATCAGTGGGCGGCGATCCTGACCTTTGGGAATGGCGCCTGCTGCCTGGAGGGCTTTAAATGCCTCGCCAACCAAGCATTGAACTCGAGTGTTTAATTATTCAGTCGTCTGCTGGTCAAACTAAGTAAAAGTATTTGCAAAACAAAAGCCATTTCCATTGTAAACGCAACCGCACATGAAAACACTATATTTAAAATATTTATAAGGCCCTTGAAGCGAGTATATGTCTTGCAATACAAAATGTTATTAAAGTTTATGAAATCCACTTTTACCACTGTTAATTAGTGTTATAATTAAATGTAGTAAACACCCTAGTATTTTATTAAAAAGGGGATTTACATTTTATTGATACCAATTGATTATACAAATATTTCTTCAAGACAATGTTTCTTAATATTCTCTGAAGTTACGTTAAAGTCTTGACTTGGGTATTCCTGACCAGAAACTCAAATTGGTAGGATTACAATTACAATTTTAAACATATCGTTATACTAACATTATACTATAACTTAAAATTTAAATGCATTTATGGCCCACCAAATTTTGTAATGATTAAAAAGTTTTCAGAAAATGAGATCGAAATAAGGGCTACAAAATTGTATCTCCATGTATAAAGTACAAAGGGTTTGTCTATACGCCTTAAAGGAACCTGAAAGCAGCTTCCTGCGTGGGTTCCACTGCAACTGCAATTGCTGTGGTGAGCAGAGTGGTGATATTCTCGGTAGTTGTGGTGTCCACAGTGGTGGTTCCATCTGTGACGCCAGTTGTCGCTCCGTGTCCACCTCCCCACTCCCTGATCATACTCATAATGGAAAATATGGTGCCTTGCACCAAAATAATGAGGCCAATGATTACATAAAGGATGTCCTTTACGAGCTTCCACTTCAGCTTTCCGTAGTTATACTCCGGCGGATAATACAGACAGATTTCGATCAGGGCGGGAAATACCAGGTTCAACAGCGATATGGTAAGAGCTCCGACCAGCGACAGCAGGGGACCAATTTTCGGGGCAAGTATGCCAGTTATGGTGGTAAGCAGCACAAACACAACCCGGATGATGCTCTCCTTCAAGACCGCGTGCTTCAACTCGCCACTCTTGTTCCAATAGTGATTCATTATAATGTCGGGTACCACATATCCGGCCAAGGGATAAGTCAGGAAAATTGCCATGGCAATAAAGGCCTTGGAAACCTGAGCAAGTCTGTGGGTGTTGTTTGATTAGGTGTGCTTAAATAGATAAAAAACGAGTGGTAAAAGTTGCTTTCTCTCGCTCTGAAGAATTCGCGATCTTATTTTGTTAAGAAAAGTTGTTCAAATATAGTTATGGTTAAAGTTAAACTTACACCTCGTTTGTGGGAATATTGAGTGAGACACTATCAGCAATTTGGTCTCCATAGCGCCAGTAGCCCATGATTCCAAAGAAAATATACGAAACTATAACTATCACTATGGCCATATCGAGAATCCCAAACCAACCGAGGTAATGTTGTGGCTTGGCCATCTGGGATTCGACGGCCAGCATCTATAAAACAGTTCATACTATTTGTAAGGATTGTGTACCCTTTATAATCATTTTACGGACTCACCACTCCCACCGAGGTGATCGAGAAAATAGCGATGCCAAAAAATAAGGGCAACAGCTCTATAGGTCCAAAAACGATATTCCGCTCCGATATTGGAGGTAGACCCACGAACAGGTAGTACATCATCATAAGAAAGCCAAGGTATATGAGAATGGTGGCCACTATATTGAAGGGAACCAGATATTTCAGCTGGCGTACCAGAAATGGCCCGATCTGAAGGAGTCCAACGACGGTTATATAGATCCTTAAGTCAGCCACGGCCACGTGGAAGTCAAAAATTTGCTTTACGTTGGCAGACACGAAGAGAATGTACACGACACAGACGCCGAACTGCGAAGCTCCCAATACTCCATCGCATATATAACCACCAGCTTTTGAGCAGTACTTGAAGCATTTGGGTCCCTGGCCAAAGGAGTAAGCCATCGCCTGTGGATAGGTCGCATAGCCGATCTGCATCCGACGGGAACACTCCACCATGCAAATAATCTGCCAAGGAACCCATCAAATTGGTAACTTACTAAAAGGCCAGCTCACTAGACTCACCAGCATCTGAATGCCATGAATAAGCATTATACAAGACAAAATTAGCAAGATAGCGCCATTGATAATGCCAGCATAGTAGAATGCCAAGGGAAGGGACAAAACTCCGGTTCCCACCACGCACTTGAGTAGAGAAAAAAAAGCCCCAACATCGCTGAAGAAAAAAAATTAGAGCTCGGTAAAATAATTAGTGGTAGTAAGGAAACTTACGATATCGGTTTAGCCACATTTCGATTTTCGTAAGGATTATAGCCTCTGTGGATCAGAACTTTAGAGATCTATTGTTAAAAAGTTGCGCTTTTCTTACCCTTTATCGGCCATTTAGAAAATGTTTTTTCTTTTATAAATTTATGTAAAAAAAATAAATTGTGGGTGTAAGTTACATGGCAGTATTTACTAAGAAACTGAAGTTTACTAGGAAAATTTCAAATATTGTAGACGGAATAAGAAAAGGCAGCTCTCAACATTATCAAAAAATCGGTGCGCTTAAAAAACGATTCTTTGCCATTATCTAAGTCGATTTTTAAAATTGGAGAGCAGCAATAATATTTAAATATCTGACAATTCCAGAATGCATACAATTTTCAGTTTTATTGAGGACTACGATTTCTATATCGCTTCTACGACCTTATATCAATCAATTGATTTATCAATATTTATTGAATATTTATTGAGTTATACCTTCTCAAACAGAAAATAATTTTGAAAATCTAGAGTATCCATATCTTATGACTCTTTATGACAGCCTAACGAAAGTGCTCATGGTAATCACTGTGCCTGCCATTCCACCGGTAAAGGCCATTAAGACTAAGAGCATTGATCGGATTGATATGGTGCATCTAAAAAGGAATAAGTATCAGCTGAAAGATACCTAAATATATGATATAAGAATTACCAGAATATAAAGCCTATTCCCTATAGGAATCTTAAAGCGGGTTCCTGAGTGGGTTCATTGGTAGCTGCAATGGCTGTGGTGAGCAGAGTGGTGATATTGTCGGTACTTGTGGTGTCCACTGTAGTGGTTCCATCCGTGCCACCAGTTGTCGCTCCTTGTCCGCCACCCCACTCCCTGATCATATTCATTATGGAGAAAACGGTGCCTTGCACCAAAATAATGAGGCCTATGACTACATAAAAAATGTCCTTTACGAGCTTCCACTTGAGCTTGCCATAGTTATACTCCGGCGGATAATACAGACAGATCTCGATCAGGGCGGGAAATACCAGGTTCAACAGCGATATGGTAAGAGCTCCGACCAGGGACAGCAGGGGACCCAGATTCGGGGCAAGTATGCCAGTTATGGTGGTCAGTAACACCATAGCCACTCGGAGGATGCTCTCCTTCAGCACGGCGTGCTTCAGCTCTCCACTCTTGTTCCAGTAATGGTTCATTATTATGTCGATTACCACATAGCCGGCTAAGGGATACGACAGGAAAATGGCCATGGCAATAAAGGCCTTGGAAACCTGAGCAAGTCTGGGGACGACAAATGTTTTGTTAGTTCTCGAAATAATGTAATAGTGTTGACGATGCCGTGAACTACACTGCATCGCTGAATAATGGGATAAGTTTTGTATCATCGTTTTGTTCTAAACAATTTCCGCTATTTAGAAATTATATTGAACAACGGATGTTGTTTAAATAATTAAATGATTATTTTTATATTAATCGAATTACAGATAAACTCACACTTCGTTTGTGGGAATATTAAGTGAGACACTGTCAGCAATTTGGTCGCCATACCGCCAGTAGCCCATGATTCCAAAAAATATATAAGAAATTAAAACTATCACAATGGCCCAATCGAGAACTCCAAACCAACCAAGGTAATGTTGCGGCTTGGCCATCTGGGATTCGACCGCCAGCATCTGCAAACAAGTCAATACCATTTGTAAGGATTGTAAAATCTTTCTAATTATTTTAAGGACTCACCACTCCCACCGAGGTGATCGAGAAAAGAGCGATGCCAAAAAATAAAGGCAACTTCTCAATAGGGCCAAAAACGATATTGCGTTCCGATATTGGAGGCAGACCCACAAACAAGTAGTACATCATCATAAGAAAGCCGCTGTATATGAGAATGGTGGCCACTATATTGAAAGGTATCAGGTACTTCAGTGACCGTATCAGGAATGGGGCTATCGAGAGGAGTCCAATAACGGTTACATAGATCCTTATGTCAGCCACTCCCCAGTAAAAGTCTATAAGCTGCTTAAAGTTGACTGACACAAAGACAATGTAAACGACACAGACACCAAATTGAGAAGCTGCCAAAAATCCATCGCAGAAATATCCTCCCGCTTTTGAGCAGTACCTGAAGCACTTGGGGCCCTGGCCAAAGGAGTACTCCATCGCCTGTGGAAAGGTGGCATAGCCGATCTGCATCCGTCGGGAGCACTCCACCATGCAAATAATCTTATAAAAAGTTGATTGGTAACTACCTTTAATGACGGCTCCCTAGACTCACCAGCATCTGAATGCCGTGAATTAGCATTATTGAAGCCAAAATGAGCAGGACAATGCCATTAATGATGCCTGCGAAGTAAAAAGCCAAGGGAAGGGACAACACTCCGGTTCCCACCACGCTTTTGAGTAGCGAAATGAAAGCCCCAAAATCCCTGTAAAAAATCTGAACGGGGTAACAAAATTTTTGGAAGTCAAGAAACTTACGATATTGGTTTAACCACATTTCGATTTTCGTAGGGATTATAGCCTCTGCGGATCAGAAAGTTACTAATCGATTGTAAAGACACAGCATTACTCTTTACCCTTTATCGGCCATGTTCGCTTTTGTTAATTTTTATTTAAATTTTTACAAAAAGGTAGTTGTGTTTATATTTCATGGACATGGCAGTATTTACTAAGAACCTGCAATTTTATTTGAAAAATCTAACATTTTAAGAGGATTTCAAGCATAAACAAACATAATCCAAAATGTATGCTCTCTGTTCTACGACAATAGTTTTATCGATTTTTAAGAGATTTATCAGAGTTCCAAAATTTTTATAACGGTTGGGATATAACCCCTAACGATTTTAAAAATAAAAAGCAATTTGATTTATTTATACATATTAAATTGGTAGTGCAAAAGATCACATTTCGAACTAAAATCTCTTGATGACGGGATAACGAGCATGGAGGGTGCGCAGGGTAACCACTGTGCCGGTCATTCCACCGGCTAGACCCATTATGATAAACAGCATTGATCGGAAAAAAAAGATTCTTCCAGGTCCGTAGCCCTCCTCATAGCGAATGCATAGATCCACGATTCCCGGCAGAATTAGACCCAATTGTGCCAAACAAAAGGATCCCACAAAGGAGAGCAGCAGTCCAAAGTCCGGGTACTGAATGGCCACCAGGACCGAGGCGATTACCAAGGCGATGCGCACCAAGAACTCTACCGCACTGGTAGAACCGTCTTCCAACTCTGGTTCCAAATAATTCCGCCAGATAATATCCACAGTTACGTAACCCTGCAGGGCATAGCTGAAGAAAATTGCCACGGCGAACATTGCAGTTACCAACTGGGGGAGACTAATAAAAACAATATTTAGGGTAGTCAAATTGTAGCTTAAGAATACCAACAATTCCTTTTCAGGCAGATTCCCCAGAATAGAGCTGGCCGTATCTTGACCATACCGCCAGTATCCAAAAAAACCAAAGATCGCATAAAAGGTAATCACCACGATCATAGCTTGATTTAGAACCCCACAGGGTCCCAGAAAATCCTCCGGCGTTCGCATATTGCGGCCAAGGGCTAAGATCTACAAATAATAATATTTTCTTTGTACTAATACATTAGATTATGAGCCAAAAGAAAAAACCCACCACTCCAACGGATTCAATGGCAAACAGTACCGTGCCAAAAAACAGTGGAAAGTTCCCCAATGGCTGAATGGCATGAAGATGTTCAAACTTGGGAAGACCCCGGAGCAGGAAACTCAATATTAGAAGAAAGCCTATGGGAAGAGAATAATGGTATGACTAAAAGTATAGATAACAAAAGGATCGGGGAAAACTCACCTAGAAACAGGAGGATGTTGGATGTTAAGGCAAATGGCACAAGACTTTTTAGATCGCGTATTAAAAACGTTAAGATCAATGGCAAGGCAATAAAAGCCATGTAGAGCCTCTCATCTAAGGGCCAGAAGTGTATATCACCCAAATGCTTCAGGCTTTTTGCTATGAAGACCACGTAGACACAGTCCACTCCAAAGTGATAGGCACACATCAGAACATCCACTAAGTATCTAAATTATAGAGCTTTGATTTATCAAGAGTTTACTTTGTATCCAATACCAACTTACCCAAAGGGCTTGCTCAGAAAACGAATCTTGGGATGACCAATGCTGATAGCCAGTTCCACTGTTTTTCGATAACTGAGCATGGGAATTTGATATTGATTTCCCAACGCGTTTATATGCTGGAGCTGTAAAGAAGAAATATCAGATCTCAAGGTTCCTTAAATATATGATATAAGGGCTACCAGAGTATGCATCGCATAGAGCACAAAGGAGGTCAGAGCGAAAGTGCTTATAAGACCAATTAGCCAACCCGAATACAGAAAAGCCTTTGGCATGGCCAAGCAACCAGTTCCAAATCCACACTTCAGGACGTTTATGAAGGTCTCCAAGTCTCTGGGAACAAGAAAAGCTGAAGAGTCTGATACCACACTAGAATCGATACCTTCTTACGACAATCTATTGTCCTTTGCCAAAGGCGAAACAGCTTCATAGGCCAACGGGGATCTGTGGGAGATTCTTCGTTACGAAAACCCATTACTCTTAACTTGGCTCACCCGAAACTCTTTTGCACACCGCCCAGGAGTCTTTGGTGGAAGGACAGCTCCTGGTCTAAGCGTCGGTGGCTGGGCAACTTCCTCTGCTTTCGCTCCATTTCAGGAAAATTGAATCACTCGAAAGGGAATTATTATTTTTCAGCGGGGAAGTCAGCGCCGACTTTGGTCTGCAATTATGCAAATGTGGATCACCGATCCCTCGGGTTATGATCTCTGGGATGTGGATGTGGAGATGGAGTGGCCTGGTCGGATTCCGGCTTCCAGGAAGGGTGGAGGTATTAGCATGGCCCTAAGCGGCCTCTCTTTCCAGGAAAGATCCAACTCTTCTCCTCCGATGTGTGGGCGTTGTTGGTCTGGCCAAAGCCAAAAGGAATTCGCTACCTAAATTATGCAATGGCCTCGGGGTCCTGGGCAAACTAATTAGTGTGGCCAGCACGGACATTTCTCAAATGCCCCCACCCCAATTGGCACCTGGCCATAAATTCACCGGCCTTTTGGACGGACAATCTACAGTTTCTAGTTAAGTCTTCCCGCTTCTCACTCTCTCTTTATCATTGTGTGGGGCCGACTGCCCGCTGCGAGCCACCTCCTCCATTCTTTGCATTGCCGAATCGAAAATGCAAATGTACCGTCCCCCCAGAGAGAAGTAAGTATTCTCTTCAGGGGCCAGAAGTCAACTAAGCAGATTTGTTTATTTAACTTTCTATCTAGAAACGATTCGTTGGTCGGCTGTTCACGTTGTACTCAAGAGGTTTTATTATAAAGGGTAAATTATTAATTATTTTCTTTATCTCATTTTGTCCCATAAAATAAAAAAGAAATGGTAACATCTATAAATGATTCGTTTGTCGCTTCCTCACGTTGTACTTAAGCAGTTTATTATAAGAGGCACATTTTAAATTATCATCTTTTCTCATCATGTTCCCTAGAATAAAGAAATAAACTGTAAAAGAAATATGGATATTTTGAAGTATGCCAAACACTTACACTCATTCGTAGCTACCTCAAGTTGTACCTATAAATATATAATTTTTCGGACAAAGAACCTTGAAAGTTTCAGTAAGTAGGGCAGGTCGAGGAATTCTCCCCTTAATTTCTAAGACTTTAATTTAATGCAGCGGTAACCAATTGCTCAGTTGAAATTCAATTGATTCACAGCAGTTCACTTTTTTTGAACTTTTGCTCTACGCCTCTTTTCGCTGGTGGGTGATGGTGGTGTCGCCAATGTCTTCCGACTTTTGATCCTTGTCACCCCAACCCCAAACGGGATGGGAGCCATCACCCGTCCTAAGAGCTCTCTGGCGAACCATGTCCAAGGACACACTCTTAAGATCGTAGGCCCAGCCCAGATAGGCGAAAAAGTCGATGAACTTGGTGGTCGCATCCTGAGAACATGGCCCCAGCTCCGCACTCTTGTAGTCCCAAGGAAAGACATGATGGTAGTTGTGGTACCCCTCGCCCACGTGGAAACTGATTAGGAAGCCCTGATCCACGGGACATATGTTCTTGTCATAGGGTTTCATGCCGAACATATGGGCGGAACTGTTGACCATCCAGATGAGATTCAAGCTGACGCACCACCTGAGCAACGCCATCACATGCCAGGAGGTATTCAAGGACTCGCCCCACAGGTACATGGGCAAGGCGGTGGGCAGGACGAAGCAAATAACAGGCATCAGCCACAGGTAGTATTTCTTCTGGAACATTACCAGGGGATCGGCCTCCAGATCGGAGAGATCTATCTGCTTGCCCTTCTCCACCACCTCGGGATGTTTTCGGCAGCACAGCCATCCGATGTGGGCAAAGAACCAACCACGCTGTGAGTTATAGGGATCCGCATCCGTTTCCGTGTACTTGTGGTGCACCCGATGATCCCGGGCCCAGTAGTAGACCGCATCCTGGAACGCCAGGGTGTTCAGGAACAGGAAGATCAACTTCAACGGCGTGTTTGCCTTGAAGGTGCGATGGGCCCACAAACGATGGGCGCCACCAGAAACACCCAAAATGGTGATCACCACGGCGGGAGCAAAGATCAGGACAGTCGTCCATGTGGCCTCCGTGAAGAGTAACCACACTCCGTATACGGAAAACACGTGAAGGATCACGAACAGCACTATGTTCAGCCACACCAGCTCCAGTTTGCTGCCATCGGTAGTCCTGAGGTTGGTCAAATCCTTGGTCAAACCAACATCCACATCCGATTCGAAAAGCACTCCCGTGGAGGTGTCGTTGCTGTTGGGTGGCATTTTGGTCTAACTTTGCTTCTGTCACCCGTCCGAAGCCTTATATGTTAGATATATAGAACCCGCGATTCCGGGCTGCAATTCTTATTCAACACCTTTGGCCGATGCAAAATGTCAGACATTTGGTATATGCCATTGCATTATTTATTTATTTGCACGCAATACAAGGTTATATTAGTCAAAATTGTGTTCTACACACGGAAAAAACAAGTGCTTCGTAAAATTTCCAAGTAAATGTTAAATGGGCCTAACCCATCGAATTGGCGATTTTTTCCATGAGATAGTCACTCATTCGTAATATCTTAACGTAACGGTCACTATAAAAACTACTTATCTAACTACAGAGAAGGGTAACATGGAGTTAGCCCTTCCATTGTATTAAAATATTTATTTTGTGTAGATATTCACCCATGAAAATGGTAAAATGATAAATTTATAATTTATAAACACGTCCCTGGAGCAAAGTAATTCATAAGTAAAATAAGAGAAGTAATTTTAAAATAACCCTTTACAAAATTGAGTTCATCCTAAAACTCTTAGAAGTAAGGTTTGTCCTTGACTTTCAGCTTAAACACTTGACAAAATATATGTTTTAAGTAATGTTTAAGCTTTTCCAATTTTAGCTTCGGAGTCATTATTAAATGAATTTTAAAAAACACATTGGAGAAAATATGTAAATTTATTGCTGGGTAAATAATTTTTAAAGTTATATAACATTTTTCTGTTGCATAAACAAATTAGATACATCACGTAAACGTAACTATGTTAATAGTTGTTTAACTTTTAAATAGTAAGCAATGAAAAAAGCATATCCCTGTAGATGTTATGGTTCACAGGGTTGTGCTCATTGTATACTTTGAAACTGCGCTAAAAACCTGCTACACACCTTTCCCCAAGTACAATATACCTTAATCTACGAGTAAGGGGTATAAATTGAAGGCCACTGATTGTTTTCGGAAATTTTTATGTTTTCGCAATGTCATTCGCCAGTTTACGAATGCAATGCGAAATTGAAAATCGCAACAATAATAGTATGATAATTTCTGATAAACTTCCGTACATACAATGCTGCAAGACTACAAATTACAATTCTTGCGTCGACTTCTGGCGCTTCCTAAACTGCAGTTTCCGGGTCGTCTGGTTCCCATGCGTCATTAACGCAGTTCTGGATTATTCGATATCATTTGTCTGCAGCACTTATGTTAATGATTATTCCCATGAATAATGGATAGGTTTTTGAATGCAACACCACATCGGGAAATTCTGTTCCTTCTCTTGTCTTCAAAGTGGTGATATGTGCACCTACTTACAAAATGCGAGTGATACATTTTGAGTAAAACACAGAAGTGACAATGTAATATTGGCTGGAAAACTTCCGCACTTACATATGTAAGTTGGTGCAAGATTGGAAAATAAAAATGTAGACATTTTTTCCGTATACCTTGTAAGTCTCCATGAACTTACCTCATGACTTGGAAACATGTTAAGTACATTCTAATTTATCTAATCTGATCCTAACAATTTAAACAGTGAACGTGGAAAGCTTTTTGTATTGCCCTTTTAAACCCCCTATGTCACAATTAATTTTGGAATTTTATTTGTTTAATCAGTTTGTTTAATCAACTGATATATTTGGATTTTTTAAAGTAATACAATCTAAGTATCCACATTTTATTAGGCACAGTCAAGGAACAACTTGACTTTTTCTGCGTGCATGTGAATGGTTGATGTTGCTGCCTCTGCCTCTGCCGTTGATGTTGCAGTTGCAGTTAGATGTGGCGCATCATTAAAGTGCAGACAAATGGCAGCGCGGCATGTGCGGCACATGTCAGGCTGCACAAGCTTTAGCAACAGGTGAAAATGCTGGAATTCTGATTATCCACTGCTGCTGCAGTTGCTGTTGCTGTTGCGGTGATTGGCAGCAACTGTTGCTGCTGCTGCGGCAGCAACTTAAACTGTAACTTTCAGCGATTTGTCGTCGTTGTCGCTGTCGTTCTTTTTTTTTCTTGGCACTGGCACTTTGATCTGCGCTAAAAACCAAACTATCGAAGAGACGGCAGCAACATGCGCATAATTATTTGAATGCCCGCCGGCAACATGGGGTGCAACATTCCTACGGCCACGCCCCCAATTCAATTTACAGCCGGAAGTGTGGGTGTATACTTATTTGATATACATTCGTGTTCGCCGTTCTCCTTTCGCGAACTCATTTGCTGGTTCATAAATCAAAAATCGCAGCGGCAACTCCCGCACAAAAAAAGAAGTAAAACCCAAATCAACAGTATGAAAAACGCATTTAATGATTGGCGAACAGCAGCAACAGCAGCAGTCGACAAGCAGCAACATCGAGAGCAGCAGCAGCAGCAACAGCAACATAATAGGCCCATCTAGAGGCAACATTCGCGTACCAGCAAAAAGTGGGAGGATGCAGTGAATTTTCCCTCGCCCCGCAGTGATGGTTTTTTTAATGCCATTTGTTGCTGCCGCTGTAGATGTTGCTGCTGTGCTGTTGCTGCTGTTGTTGCTGTTGTCGGGCCGTTTGCCTTTTTGGGGCCCGTGAGGCATTCGCCTAAGCGGCAGGTTCCTGTCTGCCCCATCCAAGGAGACGTTGACTGCATTTTTAAGCGCGCTCCGCGCATAAAATAAAGCCAGATTGCAGGTCTCTGCCTCGGGGCCATCATCCTCCTGGTTTTGGCTTGAATGGGGCGAGTAAAAGTGCAGGATGCTTTGTTGTCCTGCCCCTGGACCCAGCCCATCCCATCCCATCCCATCCAGAGTCCCCAGTCCCAGTCCAGAGCCCAAACTCCACTCGGAAGAGCTTCTGCAGATACGGCAGCTAATTTTCGATGGGCACAAAAAACACAAAAACTGGAGGGAAGCATCTGAGATCTTCGAGCGATAATGATGCAGGT